CCCCCCCCCCAATATATGGCTTACGTGGAAGGTTGCATTGGAGAGCGAATAGCATACAATTGTATCCCCAGTTAAAGGATTTACTAAAAACTGTACAAATTATCAAGATTAGTGTTATATATAATTTTTGTATGCATATAATTTTATGCATGACAAGCCCATGGGGTCACTGGTAATTATTAAACATTGTGCATTACTGATACATTTATAAATGTATTATATCAGTGTAAATGTGTACTTTTTTTATTCTATCAGAATGTATTTTGTTTGTTTACTTTCAGTGAATTGATAATTTTTTTTTAAATAATCTTTTGTTTTCGAATTTTCAATATGCAACACACCCCACAGTTTGAGAAACGCTGCTCTAACCCATTTCCTTACCATTCCAGTTCTCAAAGTGTTTTTTCTACATACACTTAATTTATCTATGATTTTTGGATGTTTTTCAGTCTCTCTTCAATGGACGAAAAGTATAACTGCGAGAGTATTTCGCAATCAGCAGAATTTTCAATAGCCTAAGCCATTATACCCGCATTAATATACGTCAGCGTAAGAGAATACTTTCGTTTGCTGTTGCTATGCAATATAAAGTAAGGGCACCTAGTATACATGTTTGAAACGGAGACCACGGGACTTTTTTCTTTTATCTTACGGCCGTCTCTGATCTTCTATCATAAGTCGACGAACAGCACAATTCGATGAAAAACGATAAAAACAATCACTAAAGTCACAGTCAATAACACTCAAAGCAAAACATTAGAGCCCTTTAAAGTGACCCTTTAAATTTCGAAACGGTGCTTGCCTAAAAATAAACCTCGTATGTGTATGTGTGTATGTTAGTGATACCCCCTACCTGGGGGTATCATCTCTTCATCCACGTGACCTAGATTTGTAGGAATAAATTATTGACCACTCGAACTCTCCATAATAAATCCAATTTATTATTATCTCAATATATTTTAATCAATGCAACACAAGTCTTACTAGTAAAATGAGATCAGGAATGATACGACGTAATTATTAATACTAAGTTAAATTAGCGACATAAATCCTATTCACTATCTTTGTGATAAATTAACCTCTGAATCTTTATCTATAGCAGATTCCTTAACTAGCTAGAATCCGCTCTATAATTAAACTTTAATGATCAATATCTTACCGATATCACTCGGTGATCAGCAACCAAGCTTTATATCTCCCTTTTGTATTCAATTTCTTTAATATTCATCTTCTATATATGTTATTATCCGACTTGATCCAGATTTTATGCAACTTTCTGATTTCTAACCGACTTATATATGGCTCCTATAATACTCTCCTGCCTCCAGCCGACTTTCTCGCGAATGCCAAAGCTCCAATATATATAATTATTCACTAATCTGCATATCGCGTTTTCTTCTTGAGAAGGTTGGATTGAAATGCCATTCTGGCCCCAAAGATTCCCCAAGAGGATTAGTTTAGAAGGCGCGATAAGCCCCGTCATAAATTTATATGTTATAATATTAATCAATTGGAACATAAGCATGTTTTTTTACTAATTAGTATGTCACGGATTGAAGTCCTGATGCCACTGACTTCCTGCCGTGTAAAGAGGCTAATGCAAGCTAAATATGTCAAGGCTAGAAGTCCTCACGCTGGCATGGAGTGGAAATTAGGAGAATGTGTTGACATCTTAGGTGTGTTAATTATAGCTAGTTAAGTTAAAATAAAATTATTTTTTGACACAAATTTGTTTTTTTAATGCTAAATATACATTTTATTAAAATACTCTAAAAAGGCTTTACAACCTTAAACTTTCTTTGTTTTCATTAACGTGGTGAACGCTTAAGTTGCGTGAATTTTATTTCCCTATAACTCATAAGATTAATTTTTTTGCAATGAAAACTCGAGCATTGTAAAGACGAACACGTTTCTGGTCTTTTGCAATTGCTTATTCTTATCAAACATATTACAAGAATACAAGAGTTATTTACAACATCTATGATATTATCCATTTAATTAATTCCTGTTTAATATCTCCTCTAAAACTCTCCTCTAAACTCTTTTTTATTTAAAAAATATTTTTAAATTTCAAAAAAGATTAATAAATTTATATAATACTTTTTTTTAATTCTTTACTTATTTTGATGAAAATAAATACAAATGACCGATTTCAATTATAAGGTGACTTTAGGTGACGGCCTCTTCAGAAATTACAATGTTATAACTTCGTCAATGTTTCATCTTCCTTAAATACTTTTATTCCTTTATGTACACAATTCCTACTATTAGTTCCCACTCTT